CCACCTTGATCCCAGCACCTCCCCACTGTGCCCCACCTTCAACACTGGGGATTACATTTCAATATGATGTTTGGAGTGGACAAACATCCCAACCATGTCAGTACCATTTATAGTAAAAGCTTAGCAGGAGACCCCAATAAATAAAACAGGTAAAAACCGAGCTTGTAGGGTGGGAGAGGAAGGAAGAGCCCTGCTAGGTTAGCTGCTCCCCCTTCCAATTCCCTGCCATAGCAGGGCCCCAAGAACCCTTAGTTGAGCCACAGGGCTCAGTTTGCCTTCTGGACCCATCATCACAGGTTACATCATTTTTCAAGTTCTAGGAAGGAGCTCCATAGACAACATGCAATTCCTATGCTTGAATGGATGCTGTTGAGAATCACAGGCTGGGGGACTCAGGAGCCATTAGTGACAATGCTACAATGAAGTAACCTGCCAGAGCACAGAACAGAGGCAAAGAGAGTCCTGGGAGCCTTCAAGTCCTCGATTCTTGTGTTCTTGAAATTCAGCAGAATTTCCTTCTCTTTTCCTTCTCCATAGACTTGTTGTTCAAATCTCCCTTCAAATTACTCTGTTGAGAGCTAGCTCAAGTTGCATTTATTTCACTTGCATCCAAAAGTCCTGATTCAGTACAAATACTGTGACCATCATTATGTTTGTCTTTCCATTCTGACAACATTTACATAAGCTGTCCCATGTGAAATAAGACAAAAGTGAACATGTCATAGTCTCTGCCTCGACAGAGATAAAAATTTAGGGAGAGTATCTAGAGCATAAAACAATAATTTCAATGCAAAACCCATGCCTAACGATGCTTCTTCATGATCAATGATTCTATAAGTCATTCTGGGGAAAATGTCACTGAAACTAGGTGAACTTTCAATCTCCTATTAATAAAATACTTCATTTTTTCCGTATTTGTTAATTTATTTGACAAGGGAGATAGCCTGACGGATCATTCTGTGAAAGAAAAATCAACTGTTTTGAGAACTGGAGAAGCTGAAGATTATTCACAGGACATATCTTACTTGGAGGAACTGGAGGAACACCAATTTTCTGTCTGGTGAGTCACTATATCCTTGCTTTTCATTTTCAAATTTAAACGTATTGACTCCAGCAAGAATTATTATTTTATTATTTGTTTATTCAACAAATATTGATTGCATTCCTATTGTAGGCTATAGAATGTGTACTCTGACTGCAGAAAGTTCATAGTCCAATGAGGAATATTAATGTTTAAAAACATCAATGTGATCTGATGATGGTATTTTTAAAAATTGCTCAAAGTGCAACATGCGCTTACAGAGAAGCTGATGGCTGAATTTACTAGAGAATGGAGAGTGGTTCCCAAAATAAATTTGAGCCAAATCTTGGGGAGAAGATTGTAACAGAGAAATGGTGACAAATCGGTGTGGACAGAGTCCAGAGATGGAATTAGGGGGATAGTTGGGGTTGACACATGCTGGATCACTTAGTTCACTTAAGACCTAAGCAGGTCATAATTACTACTCTCTCTACTTGGTGATGTGTTTATGGGTGTATCTGTTTCTGTGAACACACATATAACTGATATAGAAGAGAAGTGCTGGGAAGGGAAGGGCATGGTCCCTCTAAATGATACAGAAGCGGGAAAGGGTGTGGTCCCTGGCTAGGGCTCCACCCCCAGGCCTGTGCCCATGGACCTAGGTGAGGACAGGAATTTTTGTTTTCCTGCCCAAATGTTACATTTCCACCCTAGCCTGCCATACCAACATCCTGTGCCTATAAAAACTGCCAAGACCCTAGCAGGCAGACACACAGGTGGCTGGACTTAGAGAGGAGCACATCAGCAGAGGAACACATGGGTGGCTGGATGTCAAGAGGAACACACTGACAGGCACCAACAGGCTGGCAGGCCACTGACTGGCAGAATGGCACGGAGTTTGGCTGGGGCAGTCGGAGGAGAGCCCGGGCTGCCTTACGCCAGGGGAAAACCTTTCCACTCCATCCCTTTCTGGCTTCCCCCAGCTGCTGAGAGCTACCTCCACTCAATAAAACCTTGCATTCATTCTCCAAACCTAGGTTTGATCCGATTCTTCCAGCACACCAAGGCAAGAACCTGGGATACAGAAAGCCCTCTGTCCTTGAGACAAAGTAGAGGGCCTAATTGAGCTGGTTAACACAAGCCGCCTATGGAAGCTAAACTAAAAGAGCACTCTAACACATGCCCACTGGGGCTTCAGCTGTAAACATTCACCCCCAGACACTGTCATGGGGTCAGAGCCCCACAGCCTGCCCATCTATATGGTTCCCTAGAGGTTTGAGCAGTGGGGCACTGAAGAAGCGAGCCACACCCCCATAGCATGCCCTGCAAGGGGGCAAGGGAACCTTTCCCATTTCATAATAAACATTAAAAAAAAAACCATAAAAGAGTGAGCAGTGGATCTTCTCAGAAGTAAGGAGTACAGAATTTTGCGATGGTGGTGTCCATCAATGGTGGTGAGGAGGAATGACAGTGGTCATGTGACACGAGGAGTGACCTTGGAAAGAAGAGATGGTACCTAGTCAAAGTCATGCGCACCTACCCATGGCCTCCCTGCCCACCCTGAGATCTGTTCCTGAAATTCTTTTTCCACTGGGCATTTATCTGATTTGGTTCTCAGAATTTGCTTTCACTCTTCCATCCTGGAACCAACATCTGAAAACATGGTATCAGCTCAAATTTCCTGTGCCCAGTCACAGTTTTTAGAACTACCATTGGTCTTAGCTTAGAACTCTAAATGCTTTCACCGGTGCTTTTCCTGATGCTGCCAGAGTATGGTATTCAGGCTAAAGAGTGAGTTGTTTTCCAGATTAAGAGAAGCAGCTCTGTGACTGAGAAGTATCAGGCATGAAGGGAAGCTAAAGAGCTCAAAGACAAGAAACATACATGGCTCTCCTAGAAAGAAAACATGTACAAGAGATGCTATTTGCTAGTAAGAAAAAGACATGCTCCCTATTCTTCAGAAACTCTGTGATAGTCTCTAAGGGGAGTAGTGACATACTTGTTAGATTAGATTCAATGATATAATTTCCAGAACAGAGGTTTTAGGTGCTTACTTTGATGTATGGAGATGAGTGATATGGTTTGGCTGTGTTCCCACCCGAATCTCATCTTGATTGTAGTTCCCATAATCCCCATGTGTTGTGGGAGGGACCAGCTGGAGATAATTGAATCATGAGGGCAGTTTCCCCCTTCCTGTCCTCTTGATAGTGAGTTAGTTCTCACGAGATCTGGTGGTTTTCTAAGGGGCTTCCTCCTTCACTGAGCACTCATTCATTCTCCTTTTTGCCACCCTGTGAAGAAGGATGCATTTGCTTCTCCTTCTGTCCTGAATGTAAGTTTCTCTCTGGCCATGCTGAACTGTGAGTCAATTAAATCCCTTTCCTTTATAAATTACCCAGTCTTGGATAGTATATTTGTAGCAACGTGGGAACAGACTAATGCAATGAGAGAGCTGGAGCTTCTGTTGAGTCATATGCTAAGTTCTTAATTCTTATTCGGGGTTCACTAGGGCTAGAGGAAAAGCTTCATTAAGCCCTCAGGCTCCCAGCTCTTCCATTTCCCCTGTTTTCCAGGCCTTCTGTAATGACTGAGCTCCCTGTTGCCCTTCGGGAATGACCTTTCAGAGTCCAGAATATGCAGTGTCACAATACGGTTATTATCTTATGTGTTAAGTTAAAAGGCTGAAGGGTTTCCCAGGACCACAGAGCTTCAGTTCCTGATTGATTCTTTAAGATGCTACTCTCAGGCACTATGCCTTCAATTGGTTTCCTCTGATGCTCTAAGAAGGCCAGATGCTGGCAATTACAGCTCCTGGGGGCAAATCCTGTTCTCCCTCTGTGTTTGTAAATAAAGTTTAATTGGAACTCAGACACATTCGTTTGGTTATATGTTGTCTTTGGCTGTTTTCCTCTGCAATGGCAGAATTACGTCCTGAGACAAAGAAGGTGTGGCCCACAAAACTTAAAATATTTACTATTTGGGTCTTTCCCAAAAAAGTTTGTCCACCTCTGCGCAACACTGACTTAAATGCTTCTCCGCTGCGCTCTCATGATGCCACTCACACTACTTTTAAAAATCATGTATTTTCTAATTGACAAGTAAAATTGTATATATTCATGGTGTATAACATGATGTTTTGAATTATGTATACTTTTTGTAATTGTTAAGTCAAAGTATTTAACATATGCATTTCCTCTCATAATTATGTTTTCTTATGGGAACACTCTCTTAGTAATTTTCAAGTATACAATATATTGCTATTA